GTACTCATATTGAGATATTTATATTGCACTCATATTGTACATGACTCTTGATATATATTAAAATTGAGATATTTATATTGTACTCATATTGAGATATTTATATTGCACTCATATTGTACATGACTCTTGATATATATTAAAATTGAGATATTTATATTGTACTCATATTGAGATATTTATATTGCACTCATATTGTACATGACTCTTGATATATATTAAAATTGAGATATTTATATTGTACTCATATTGAGATATTTATATTGCACTCATATTGTACATGACTCTTGATATATATTAAAATTGAGATATTTATATTGTACTCATATTGAGATATTTATATTGCACTCATATTGTACATGACTCTTGATATATATTAAAATTGAAATATTTAGTTATCAACTTTCTAATTAAGATAACTTGGAAATTCATAACATTTGCAATTACTCTAAATCTTAAATTGGTCTAATAAAAGTATTGCATCAATGTTTTTTTTTAAATCATAGCCCTGATTACTATTGGTTTTTTTAACCATACATTTGGTAACTGAGTTATTCTTTCCAAACAATTTCTCCTCTTCAGATATTGCAAGTTTGCATTTTTTTTATATCTATAATATCCCTTAGGAAATATGAATTACTGTGTATAAGCCAAGTACATCCAAATGAATTCAGTTCAGAAATAGAGAAACAAGATCTTAAAATGCAAATTAAACTCTGAAATAATGAGAATACAAAAGCATAGCCAAGAGATGTTGGACACAGCAATACTGAATATTACTAAGCTCCTTCATGGTTTCCAAGTTGCAGGTTTTCCAAAGGAAGCTATAAAGGCAATGATAAAGGTTGATTTAAATATTTATTTTATTGGTCATGAGTATTTCAATCAGCTGACTTATTATCTGTCTTCTATGTTCCATGAGGTTTTTTTCTGCTTTCCCATGGTTTCTGAATTTGTATAAACATTTTGTACTTTTTCAAGCTATTTAAAAAAAACAAAAAAACACTGAGGGTCAGATTGAAATAATATAGAAATTGAAGTAAAAAAATAAACAACCAAGCAAACAAAATTTTCTATATCCTATTTAGTTATTCATTTTACTATGTTTTATGTTTATGTTTCCGTTTTCTTTGTTCTGGTATATTTCAATTATTGCTGTATTTTCTATTGCCTAATTATGTACTTTTATATGTGTAATACTTAGAAACTCATTTTTATAGGTTTCTTATATTTGTAAATAGTAAATAATGTAATATAACAAAGTTTAACTAGTACCATATAGGAGGGAAAGCTTATACAATCTAAGGGTGGAAAACTAGAGATCTGAGACTAAAACTAGCCTCAAAGAAAACAACAAAGTTCCTAGTGATTTATTGTTTCTACACACATGTACACATGGTTTTGTATTTCAGTCACTTTTTCCAAAGGGCTTGTTGTTTTTGTTTGCAATATAAACAATAAAAGAGACTCTCCCATATTAAAAGGTTTCCTGCACCTGCCAAGGGAAAAGTGAGTACCCGAGACATGTCTATTGATGTTCTCACTGGGAGAGAGAGGACAATAAATCCATTGCTTACATTTTTGCAGCAGCTAGATGAGCTTGTAGGCAAAAAACTGTTTTGAAGCAAGTCTGCAATAATCAACATCTGTTTGACTGAACTACGTCTTCTCTCTGGCAGTCACTGGTGGTGGGAAAATGCTGAAAAGATTGCAGAAAATTTGATTTGAAGAATGGATCTTTTCTTAATTAAAGTCCTTTAAAACCTATTAGTCTTCTTCTACCACGTTTAGATTAACAACCACCACCACCACCAATGTCTGGCTTAATTTGCAGAAACAAGTAGAGAAGTTCTTGCAATGCAATGAATGAAACTACTGCAACTTATTTCCAATAGAGTTTAGTGCAACCTGTATTCACTCAAGTTACCATAACTTTCAAATTTTATCCCACCAGCTGCTACGTAGACAGTTGCCTGATTGCAAACATGTTCATCACATAGCTTTTAAACAACTTTGAATCAACATTAAAGAAATTATCTGTTGTTTTTGTGTAATTTTCATAGAAAACAGAGAGTTTTATTATTACAGAGATTCTACTGCAAAGAATTTATACCCAGTAATCACTAAATCTTATATGATCATCAACATCACTAGTATTATTTCAATTATCTGCAAAGGAGACTAGAAATAAATTTAAGGACTTTGATTTTTTTCTTATAAAACAACTGATAGAAGCAGCATTGGCAAACTTTTTATGTAACTTTTTATTGTTTGTTATATGTTTTTACACAAAGGAATCTGACATAAAATTTAAAGTATTCAAATAAGAGCTGACATTGTTTGAAATTATTCAGGTTGTCCTCTTGGTAAGCAGAAAAATAAAATGTATTTTGGTGCCAATCTTGGATCAGCCTGTTAGCACACAATTTCTTGGCATTTCAACATTACTTGTTGAATTATTTCAACATTATTTTTTGTGTTGATTCTTAACTTACTTGAAATTGCGAACTTTTTTAATATAGTAAGGCTATATTATAAGGAGGAAAATATAAATGAAATACTTGTACCAATAGGTTTACGAGATTTTAAATATCAAAAATTATACTTACCTAAGAGTTGCTTTATTTTCTTAGTCGTTTACAAAATCTAACTTTGCAATTCAGTGTCTGATTTTTTAGAAATTAATCCCACATATATCAGTGATATTCACTTATCAGCAAATAAGGATAGGGTCTTCCTGCTATTATTGTTGCGGTTGTACCAGTGTTCTTCTAAAGTATCATTTCATTATTCAGTAGTTTGGTTTTTGAATATGAACTGACAAGTGATTGCTTAAAAACCCTTTCAAGTTCTAGAATTTAACTATATTTATGCTGTTTGTGCTAAAATTGGCAACAGTTGGATTTGTGTCTGCTCCAGCATTGGTTGTGGATATGCTGCATTGCTAGTTGGCTTTATTCCTGAATGTCTAGCATTTCTGAAATTCACTCAGGGCAACTCTCTCTCTTTCTCCTTTCCTATTCTTAAAGACCTCTGTAGGGATAACCCACAGTGTGGGGACTCAATGCTTTAGCATGCTATTAAGTTATTGCCACCCCTAAGGACAACTCTGCAAGGAGGATGAGGACTCACATAACTCTGAATCAATAAAGGAAGCAGCTCAATTAGCATTTCACATGCTTTTCTTCCCTCTCTTCTTACCTTCCCTGCAGTGGGCATGCTTTCCCCTTAAAGGATTGTCCTGTTTCTGCTCATTGCCAGCGTTGGCAGGGTGACAGTAGTCGAGTGTGCAAACTTGTGCTATTGTCCCCGGGCCAGGGGGAGTCATGGAGACCCACTAATATGACACAGGAAAATGTTTGCTGATGGCAATTCTATGGGCTTTGTCTAACTCTTTCTCCATCATGACGACTCGATTTAAGTCTCTAACTGTTTGACTACAGATGCAAGAGTACTATCCAACTCCATCCTTTTGTCCTGGTAGTTTGAATGGGTAATTCAGCTTTTGTGTGGCTCAATTGAGGGGGCAAACATAAAGACAAGATTCTTGAGCGCTCAAGCTTCTTTTCCATGGATATCTGCACATCTCTTTAGAGATTTGTTCTTTTCTTACCTTTTTCTGACATCACCCTCCCTTTAAGTGGGGGAAAATGCCTGATCAAGAACAGTTTAAAAAGTAGGCTAGCCAGGTCTCCCAAACTAGCATTGTCCAGTGTTACTCAAGCATGGTTACTGCCAGTCTTCAGACAGCTTTGGAGTAGTTTAGAGAAAAGAGCCTCAACAAGCTTTCTTTACTCATCCTCAGCATATCATGTTTGGTTGTGTTTTAAAAAGGGGGAGGAGGGGGTTGGAACAGAAAGAATGGTAGGAATCACAGGGAAATGATCGTATTTATTAGCTGTCTTTCTGTGGCTGTCCCCATGGTGACTATTTGTGATGGCAAAGAATGTGAGAACAGGGAGCCTAATGCCTGATTGGGATGCTTTGTATTTGGCAAAGTGGCTTCTGATTGGCCTGAGAAAGCCTCCTAACTAGAAGGGCTTGATATTCATTCAGCTTACTCAAGTGCTGCAAAACACTCACAGGGTCCGGCTGCTTCTCTAAAGGTTGGTAGTATCTAACCTATGTAACAAGATTAGCTGGTGAACTGCTTCTTCTCTACCACAGAGTTACAGTAACACTCAATGTTTGAGAGAGAATCTTGCTGGGAAGGGTGTAATTTAACTTGGAAGGCCATGAAAATGGTGCATATATATCTACTCAAAGGTTAAATGCTACCTGTTGAGTAAGATTAACTAGTAGGGCCACAGTCACAGCAAGTATAAGACTGGAATGAGGGAAACAGAATATATTGAGGTATATAGCAATGATTGTACATATGGTATAATTGTATTATCAAGCTGTAAATTTGTAGGATAATTCTAAACAAATATGTATACAATACTGCAAGACCTTTGTGGAGTTCATGATCCTGCAGGAGAGAAAAGCATTTGAAACAATGTATATATTGAATGGATTAATTATTTGAAACAAATGTCTGTCTCACTTCTGCAGGTCTGCCTTTGTGCCCAGCATATTTTAGTGTTTGCGTATTTTATATATATATTATGTGGGGGAGAGAATGAGAGAGTAATAGAGAAAGAATATTCAGGCATTTAAAGCCTGAAATCCTAAACATGTTTATCTGGATCCACTGTATACATTAACAGTTTATAGAATTGCATTATTAAGCTAAAAGAGTTTTGGGGTATATGTGAAGTTGTAATTAATAGTGTTAAAACTGGGGGGTTTTGTGCAGAGCTGAGTGTATATGAATATGATCATTGCAGATATGTGAAAAGGAATGCGAGTTATTTCTTCAGGAATTGTCACGTGCGAAAGTAAAAAGGCATTTTAGTCTTTGTTACCCTATTTGTGCAGACATGTGGAATATCAATGAGAGGACAGAAGGTAGAGCGTGCTTTTTAATACTATGTTAAAACTGAATACAAGCGGGTAAACAAGGAAAAAAAACTTTTTTGAGGACTTTACAATATACAATATAACTTTTATAAGATAAAAAATATAATTAGCCACCAGTATTGTGGGAGTCGACACATCACTGAAAGCATTCATAAATGCATTTGCATCCCTAACAAGATACTTTTAGACGAAGTTTTTAATCAAGCATTCACTCTGCCTCATCCTTGAGTTCCAGGAGAGGTCCACCCTGTTTTTAATCTGTATCTTCCCAGTGATTTTTTATCTCTCTGACTCTTTTTTTTCCCGTTACCAGAGGGGTGGGGAAATCAAGAAACCAGGAGCAGCGCATTTTGATCAATTAACGCTTGGAACGGTCTTTTTGGAAGCCTCCGGTATGGCGTGAAAGCACAATCTGGAGAGAAATGCCTGCGGGTGGCTGGCTACCTATGTTACCCATCTTCCATCTGGCAAAAGCGGCCCGATGTTCCTGCCAAGGATAAACATTCCCCGTCATCCCATTTAGCCTCAGCGAACCGACCGCCGCCTCGGGTTAGGCTGTTCTCAGGCGCGCGGCCGCTCTGAGGGAGCCAACCCTTTCATGGACGGGCCCTCCTTCTTCCTCGCCTTTTCGTATCCGCGGCCGGGCTGAGCGATGGCTTCGGCAGACAGCGAGGTGAAAACCCTCCTCAACTTCGTCAACTTGGCTTCCAGCGACATCAAGGCCGCCCTGGACAAGTCGGCCCCCTGCCGCCGCTCCGTAGACCACAGGAAATACCTGCAGAAGCAGCTCAAGCGCTTTTCCCAGAAATATTCCCGCTTGCCCCGCTGCCACCACCACCACCTGCAGCCGCAGTTGCCTCCCGCTCGGGAGCGGAGACCGCCTGAAGGGAGGGTACGAGGTCTCAGCCCCGAGAGTTCGCTAGGCCGAGGCCACGCGGCCTCCGGGGCGTCCAAGGGCGACAAGGCCTCCAAGGCCCCAGAGCGCCTGGGCGGTGAGGAGAAGCAGCAGCAGCAGCAGCAGCAGGCAGGGACTTCGGAGGCAGGCGCCAGGCCCGACCAAGTACCCATGAGGAAAAGACAACTGCCCGCTTCTTTTTGGGAAGAACCCCGGCCTGCTCCGGGCTCCCCCGGTGTCGTCAGTGGCGTGATCTTTCCAATGGGAGTTTGCTCGTCGCCCTCTTCTTCCTCGTCATCCTCCAAAGACCTGCCTCCTTACGAGGGAAAGAAAAATAAAATAGGCCTCGACGGCGGCAGCGGCGGCACTGGCGCGGTTCTCGAGAGCCCCCCGCGCAGGCCAGAGGCCGAGGCCGCCCTCAAGGGACTGAGGACCTGGGGCTGCTGTCCATTTCAGTACCACGGGCCACAGGCCTCCCCCGGTGTCTACCCGCCCCCGCTGCCGGCCGCCCTGCCCCCTTTGGCTCCCTTCTCGGCTTTGGGTTTGTGGCGGAAAGATGCGCCTTCCCCGACGGAGGGCGAGCCCTTCTGCCAGCCAGGGCAGAAAGTGTATCGGCCTGTAGTGTGGAAGCCCATCCCCACCAAGCCTGCCGCGCCGCCCCTCATCTTTAGCGTCTTTAGTTATCTTTAGCTGTAGCAGCTCCCCTCAGCTTGCAAGGACTTCAATCATCAGGTTGCTCACAGTGCTGATTTTGAAACAGTGCCTTAGGCTACTTCCAGACCTTGAAAAAAAAACAGCTGATCTGCTCTTTAATCTCAGGTCCCCCTGCTCTGGAGGTTCATCAGGGAATACAAAAAACAGGAAAGTGTGGAAGGGTGTTGAAATCAACCCATTGTTGATGTATCAGGTCTCCTGCTAAGATATGTTCTCTTGGGGAACTTGGGCCAATTATCTCCGAACTTGATCTACCTGGCAAAGATGTTGTGAAGGCAAAGTATGCATGTGTGGAATTTAAAATATATACCCCTTGAGTTGTTTGAAAAAGGGCCAGGATAAAAAAAAGTGGTAGACTAATTAATAAAATTAAAAATAAACCACACTTTAGTTTGGTGGTTGACTGCCCCTGCCTGAGGTAGCAAGAAAGAATTAATAACAAATTGTGAATAATGAAATTATTCAAGGGGCTTGTCTTGTCTGCACTGCTAAAAAAAAAGGTCATGTAAGAAAATGTAATACACACTTTTGTAAATAAGGATACTGTCTTTTTTTTCTTGACATGTAAATACCAAGACTGTTGTAACAAACAAAAATAAATCCCATACAGTTTTTCCTTTGAGTCTCCACTGTTAAAATGTCTTTAAGTGGAAAAGTGTTATCTTTTTTGGAAGAAAGAAGAGAATTGTTTTACTCTTGTGTAAATGCATCAATTGTTTTTAAACTATGGCCCATGTCTTGTTCTGGATAGGTAGCTCTGTTAGCAAAATTCTCCTCGGTTGTTTTTAGCTGAATGATTCTATGAAATTTGGTCATTTAAAAGCAAGAAGCTTTGTACTACTCTATGTGAAGCAATCATTTATAGTAAGGCTGAAAATAATTACTTTATTATTTATATATTTTAGTAGTACAGAGTAAATAATATGGGATTTTTTTTCTATGACAAGGATATTCCTGTCAATATGAAAAAGATTTGTATGTAAAAAAAAAACTTAGGTTCATTTCCTTAATTTCTAAATCAAAGTGCTCTAGGTAGCAGGTATTAGCAATGTACTGACTGAACTAGACCAGTTACAGTAAGCAGCTTTAGATGAACCAATAAAACTGCCGTACAATTAACCTTTGAGAAGTAGGGAAGCAGAATAATAGCAGAATAAATGCTATTTTGAAAACTACTTTACACTTTAAATATTTCACTTGTGATTCAGCTTTCTTTTGAAAATACCACTTGCATGAGCTGGCAAGAGACGAATAAACTAAGCTACTAATAAATGAATTTCCAACTATGTATACGTAACGTAGCTTTGTTTGAGCTGCAAATCCAATGATATGAAACATATCTTAACCAAAAGTGGACTGGACTTGGAAATATTGAAAATAGATGAAATACAGGTATCTTGCAAAAGTGAGGTTTTGTTCTTTTCAAAAGGTATTTTTAAAAGGAATCTATATAACTTTGTTTAAAGAAAATATGCATTTGAATACTAAGTTTTGATAGGCATTAGCACAATGTCTTGTGGTCTTCCCAGAGGCTCCCACTTGCCTTCAGTATAAAAAGGATATCTCCTATTATTTGATCCAGCACTTTTTTTTGTAATTTTAATAGCCCTATTGCACAGGAGTCACAGGTGTTGAATAACGTGGCCTGTATTCTGTTTATTTCCCCACTGAGTTATTCAAATGCATAAATATGGAATAACATTTAGGGAAAATGGCTACCATTTATATACTATACCTACCTATTTTTCATATTAATTTTTCAGCATAAATTTCCAATGTTTCTGATTATTATAATACCTTTCAAATTTCTCTTTTTTTAAGCAACTTGATTATGTCAGGATTAGTTTCTTCAATGTTTGTTGTGTATATTCTCCACACTCCAGAGTTTTCCCATTGGAACGATGGCATATGATGTTGCAATTGAAAAGTTTAGATTTATCTGTAAGAATTTTTTCTTACTCTTTCAAGGAACTATTTAAGAATAACTACACTTTACTTTATTACCTTTTGGAGATTGTGGCAAACCAAATATATATTAGAACATATACAGGTAGCAATAGCCCTTAGACTTATATATTGCTTCGCATTGTTTTACAGCCCTCTCTAAGTCAGGGGTCCCCACTACCCCCACCCTCATCTGTGGACTGGCACCGGTCCATGTCATGCCAGAAACTGGGCCATGCAAATT